CGTTTTAAATACGTTAAATCTAATACATAAGCATGAAAAATGTACGCATTTAACTGTGCAAAACGACACAAATGAATCATGTAGCAAAATAATGTGCGCGGAAATGCGTAAAACTTGACTACGTGTTATTGCGTATACTATACGTATACTATAATGTGTGAAAATAATTGTGTAAAAATTACACACTTGGAGTTGCAATGTAACTGGGGAGTGCAACGCAACTGGGAAGAAAAAGTTTTCCCTCTCGCGGGCCAATCGGCGGCGAAGCGCGCGAAATAATTGCGAACGGCGAATAGCGACGGCGGCGACTCGCGAGCGGTCGTGCCGGGCCCGCGAGCGGCGTTCTAAAAGGAAAACAGCTCATAACGTTGCAGCTGCTTCCACCCTTTCTCTCCTGCCGCGGCTGTTCCACATGGAACGGCACTCGGCATTCCCATCAAGTTGAATGCGAGCGTGAGCACGAGACAGCGGGGGCGGGGGGGGAAAAAAAAAATGCAAAATCTCCGAACGACGTGCCGTAATTACGTGGCGGGCGATTGGGTGGGTGTGCGCGACACATCGAGAAGTCGGCCGTGCCGCGATAAGACGTTCACTTCGATGCAAATATCACGACGTCGCGAGCGACGTGCGGGTTGCTTTTCTTGGCAATCGTATTGTGAGAGCAAATGAATTTTCAGCGACAAGGGGAGGCATGTTCGTCGGGTTTGACCGCCGAGTTATTCCCTTTCTTTCTGTTTCTTTATCTTCGCGTTCGCTTTTTTAAGAATTATATCATGTTCTTTTCTTTTTTCTTTTTGATCAAGTAATACATTCGATGAAATATTCATTAGGTGTCGGGTCAATCGAAAACTTCGGTTCGATTCTTAAAGCAACGTTGATTTTACTGTTATTGTGTATATAGAATTTTTACATAATTCATAGCTTTTTTCATGTTCCCCGACAAATTCAACTTGTTATATCATCATAAGAACTAATAATGATTTCGTTATTCTTTTTATTATCTGAAAATTGCATCAGTAAATAAACTTTATGGATCCTCCTTTTGTTTCCTTCTTTATCTGCGCGGCAATTTTACAAAAATTGTCGTATAATATTTTGTTTTCTTTTTTACCTTAACTTTTTATATCACCGATAAATATTTTAATTCTTCTTCTCCTCCTTTTCCTTCATTTATTTTACTTGGAAGTCGCTTCGCGAGTGTAAATAAATTTTCACGAATTTCCGTTTTTGTCTTCACCTTCACGTCAGTTTTCCAAAAATTGTCATTATCATTTCGCTCGATATTTTCCACAAATCACAAATTGTTATATCATCATTCTATATCTTTATTATATATTCTTCCTTTTATACATAGAATATGTGAAAAGTCAACGCGACGTGTTGGATTTTTGGTTCCGCCACGAGGATCGAAAGTTCATGTTCGAGAAGTTCCGTGCGATCTGCGTTTTCTCAGCGCGTCGGAGCGGCTTTCCCCGGGAAACGAAGGTGCGCGCGCTCAAGAACTAAGAACACAACGCATTACGAGCGCGATTACGAGCGGCGCGAGGATTGCGTAATCGTGTCGACGAACGCGACGGGATATAATATCGGCCGGCCGGAGCAAAACGTGAACGACGAAACACTCGTAATCGCCGTAGAATCGAAGGTATGCAAGACGTGCGGAACCGGCCGCCGGCTTTCCTCGTGCATGTTGTTCCTTCGTTTCTTCGTTTCGCGGAACAATTCCGCCGAGATATAAAATAATTTGCACCCTCTCTCTCTCTTTCTCTTTTTTTCTCTTGTGCAATCATCGGCCGAGATTTGCCGAAAGAACAAGCCGTAAAAATTAACGATCGTAAAATCGGTTAACGATCGGCGTCAGAAGAGCGCTGGCTAATCGCGTTGAGAAATTCTCATCTCGATCTCGCGCGCTATTCCGAAGAAATCTCCGACGGGATTAATGAATCAAAAATAGGAGAAACGTAAGACCGTGAGTTCGGAACGTTAACATGAAAACAAGTTAATTAGAACCAGGCGCTTCTTGTGCGAAAATAAAATATCTAACATGGAAACCAAATTGTTTGTTTGACTAAACATTTAATTAACTTAATTAATTAATTCAATTATTTATTTATTTATTAAATACTTCTTTTTCATACATATTTCAAAATCGATAAATATTACGAATACCAAATACATAGCGTCGGAATATTTCAGCGAACTTCAGCAGGCAACACTCGAAATGGAAGTGAGTTGAAAAATCTCGTCACAATCGAACCACCTAAATGAATATTCGTAATATTTACCGACGACTGGATTTTCTTGAAACCAGCGATATCTCTTATCTGCCCGTTTTTTCTACCGATGTATATTAATAAATCGGTGGAAATCGCCGGGGTGACCTCGTTTTCCTCCCTCTTTCCTTTTCTCTTGCGAGCGAAACTCGCGGGGAGCGAGCGAGCGAGCGTGCGCGCGCGCGCGTCTGTCTGCAAACGGCGTCGCGAATGCGAAGAAATCGAATGGTAAGTTCCGAGCGTAAACTCGGATGTTGTTTCCCTCCTTGGGTTTATCAATGTCACTTCTATTTCCGGTCACGAGCGGGGAGAAGATCGCGCGTCGTATTATAAGCCACCTGGTGTTCTAGGACGTCTAAAGATACGCCTAGAGAAAAGTTCTTGAGCGCGAACTTCGACGTTACACCCTCACCTCAGTGCATCCACGCGCAGCACACATACACATAAGAGGAAGAGAGACAGGCGGACAGATAGACAGACAAACAGACAGAGAGAGAGAGAGAGACCAGCTGACGTTGCACCACGTTGCAGAAGTCTCCTCGACAGCTACACGAATACAAGAAGCTCGGACCTCGAAGAGCATCGTCGCCGCGGTTCCTCCGGCTTCTCCATCAGAGCGTGCGTTCCTCTCTTTTCCTCTCCCTCCTTCCCGCCCTCTCTCTCTCTCTCTCTCTCTTCCTCCGGCCGGTGACTTCGGTCGCGGCGCGTCGCGAATGGCGAGCCGATTAATTATGCGCGCGCTGAATTATTGCGAGAGAACGCACGTGGCTGTCTCGCGCGATCGACGCGCGTTTGCATCGCGCCCGGCACCCGTTTCTATCGTAGCGATAGAAACGACAGCGACACGGCTTTAGGCTCGGAGGGTCTGTTTGGACGAACCGTTGCCCGGCGACACGTTAGATTGATTCGCGAGGCGACCCGAGCGAGGAGTTTCTTCGCGCGCGCTCACATCCGGGTGCTCTTGAAACAGAGCGACGACTCGATCGGTCGTGAAGAATACGGAAGGGTCGAGTCCAGGGTGGAGCGGGGTCCGCGTAGAAGTTTCTCGAAATCTCACCGGGCGCTGTCTAATTCTCGATTCAAATAGCCGGATTTGCCTCCGAATGGAGTATCGGCTGTGATATCGATCGGAAATCCTGCTCTCATCTTAAATACGAGTCCCTTTCTTAAAATTGACTTTCCATTCTTTTTTTTTTCAACGGTTAAATCGATGTACTCGTGTGAAATGTACTTTTACGAAATCGAGTGGCAAATCTGATTTTTACATCAACACCGTTGAGAATTGGATGCAAATAGAAAATTCAAATCACGTGTATCTTAATTGTGATGAGCTAATGGAAATTGAGCCGGGTGGGTGTCTAGTCACGAGGTAATTAATTTGCATCTAACGTCGCTATTAGCCGGCCTAATGTAATGCTCGCTTCCTCGAGCGGCTAGATAACGGCTAAGTAAATAAGTTAACTAACGGTTAAACAAAAGAACCGAAGGAAGAAAATTACAGTTACCAGATGAAAAATCGTAACCAGTTACCTGGCTGTAATGTAACTCTCACTTCTGCTGTTTCCTCAAGATTTTTAAATGTCAATGACGGGTAATAGCTAGATTATATATTTTAGAACAGACAATGCCATCTGCTCTATGATATTTGATAAGTAATGGCCAAACGACCAGGTCGTAAAACCTGTATTTTAGTGAATAATTCGCCGGAAGATTAATCAACGCGTATTTAAATGTATCAATGTCTATTTTTAGACGAGTCTTATGACACATGAGTTGAAAGAATTTTCCGACAAAGACTGAAAATTATCAACGAATCTTCTTCATAGTCAAACTCGCAAACTGGCAAATGTATGTACGAGATGCCCTCCACTTTATATATATATATATATATAATTGTACAGTTTAGGGCCAATTTTGTAAATTCGTCTAACTAGACCGTCGACCTGATCGGACCTTATGAGACCACAGGCCATGTTGGGATCATCCACGTCGGTGTCTATTCAGGATCTACCTTTTCAGGCCGCATCTAGACTTAACGAGGACAGGCCTATTTCGGGACATACCTATCTAGGGTTACTATAGACTCATGTTACGCTTCGATTAATTTCCACGTGGGAGTATTGTCTTTCAAGTCCCGGCCGATTGCTATGATCCCGGGCGTCAAATCGGTATTTGACATTTGGTACCGTTCGCTAGAAATCGGTGTACTAAGCCAGTAGTTCGCCGGCAGAGTTATTTGAGCAGTTACATGAGATATCTATCACCGTAATCGCCGTAATACGCCGGGCGAAGTGGCGTGCAACGGAGAGAGATGGCCGAGTTGGAACCCCGTGGCGGAACGGGGCCGGATTGTTTACCCGCTCATTGTTGCGGCCTTGTTCGCGAGAGCGAACTTTCAGCGAACCGCTCCCGCTCTGTCGGCCGGGGTTGTTTGCTTCTGCATAATTAATCCGATACGCTCGTTGCGCCATCCGGGCATTGCGCTTTCACGTGCATACGCGCGTGCATGTGTACGTAAGCGAACGCGCACGTGTGCGTTTCGAAACACACGAGTAGTCGCATAGTCGTTCCCGTTTCTCTCGTTCCAGTTAGGCAATACTTGTTCGACGGTGTTGCGATATTCAGCCGGTAAGGATACCGCGGCCGGCGAGCGTTACAGGTGCCGACACGCGCGCACACAATCGCGCGTCGTGAGGGTGGATCGAGACAGAAAGCAGCTGGGTGGTCTTATTTTTATCACAAGACGTAAAAATCAACTTTTATTACAAAATAAATAAAAGTGTTGTTGCCGGGAGAGACGAATGGTGAAAGAGGGGGGGTAGGGGGGAGGAGAAGGGCGTCCGCTCTGATGTCATGGTGTCTTCTTCGATGTTATGCCGCACAATGAATTTCGAGATCGAGAAAATGGGCGAATGGTGGTTGTCGTCAGGGGGGAGGGGGTTGTTGTTGCTGGTTGTTGGCAGATGGATGGCCTGGCGGATCTCTGGTCGGATCCTTGCGTCTACGCGCGTACTCGGTGTTGCTTGGTGGTGATGTGTGGATGCGTGTCATATGTAGCGTCAAGGTGGCGAAGAGAAGAGTCATAGAAGAATATAGTCGGAAACAGTTGGTAGAAGAAGAAGAGATACAAGGGGGCTTTGCTTGGAGTCTGGCTGCCTGGTCTCTGCGGTCCTCGAGTGGCCCAAGACGTGCGGCTATCCTGAGGCAGTCGAATCCCACTGGTCGAGCCGCCGTCGGGCCGCGGCCCGACGGCGTGTCCTCCCGGCCATCTCGGGATCCTGGCCGGGAGTCGCGCACGCGACGGAAGATCGACGATTCGCCACGAGCGACCGGCCGATCGGTCTCACCGGCCGGCGGCCGTCCCGCGCGACCCGCCTGTCCGTGATCTCGCGTCTGCGTGGTCTCGTGCGTGTGAGTGAGTGATTATTAGCATGCTGCCTTCATATCAGCCTCAGGATGACGCGCTCGGCGTGGACCACCCCGGACCAGCGGGGGTCTGCTGGCCGTCTAAGGACTTCTTCTTAGTGGCCGTATCCGTGTCCTCCGTGTCCTCCGTATCCTCCGTGAAGAGCAATGTTCGTGACGCTCGGCTCGTAGTGCGGGGCATCGTGGTACTGCTCGACAGCCACCAAGTGCGGATGCCCTCCCGACCCTCCGTACCCTCCTGCGTTACCGCCGGAGTAGTGGATCCTGGTGGTGTGGTCATTACCATGGGGAACGTACGGGGCGGCCTTCAGGTCCGGGATCGGGGGGTTGCCGGCGACGTGGATCACCTGGGGAGCATGCTGCGGAAAACCGCGAGGGAGCATCGTTGATTAACCCCGAAGTGCCGGTTCCGGTGGCGGTACAGATGCCGCCGGTGGCGCGATCACGCTCGTTCTTCGCGCGCGTCCCCAACGCAGTCAGCCGCGAAAAAGTCGCGGTACTTTTCTTTTTATACATTTCGTCCGAACGTATCCCGTGTCCGATAGGAGAGTGCAGTTTTTTTTTTTTTTTCAATCATTTTCAAGAAATACGTGTATTTTTATAGATAGGTTTTTTCTATCGGATAAGAAGGTGTGTTGTGAAACACGTGGTGAAAATGGCGTTGCAACCTTTTCTTGCGGCTGACCGAGTTTGCTCGAGACTTGTGCGAAAAGTTCTTTCGATACGGTACTTTCGTCACTTTCAGGTCGGTATTTATATGTAATCCATTGCTATATTTGAACCAACGATAAGACAGAACGAGTCTAGCCTCTAGTCACGGTTGTTATAGCAATGTAACACTTTTCATTTTTGTGGATATAAATGTTTCATGTTTAATGTTGCATTTATATTTAAAATCTGAAATTTCTCTTAAAATATACATTTCTCTCGAGAGGAATTTATTTTAGGATAAATTTCAGATAGTTGTAGATATGACATTGTGATTGACATCGAAATTGTGTGAAAAAGTTGTTTTCGCTCTTAGAGTCTTGGTTCTCTTTTTTCCCTTGATATACAGTAATTGTTAGATCAAATCTTCGTCGAAATGAATATAATTTTTAAACTCGATCATTCGGGCACTTGACGACACGCGACGTTCGCGTGAAACATGTAAACATTGTAATTACGCGGGGGTTAGGCAAAAGGACTAAGTATTCGCGCTGGTCGTAAAGATCGTAGATACATCGAAGGCATTGCGAGAGTCGCGTCAACGAGCGCGATCGTTCGGATTGAACGATTTTCGAAATAACGAGTGCCAGTAACTTACGTGGTATCCAGCGCTGACAGCCGCCACGATGGCGAAGAGGACAATCTGCAACGGGAAGGCATGATTTAACGTAACACGATTAACGACAAATTAATATAATAACGATATAAAAAGAATTCTTTCGATAAATCTTTACAGATTCGCGGAGTAATAAACAGAAGTCGGCTCAACTTCTGCGACAACTTCGATTAAATACAAGCAATTCAACTGTGTTTATAAGTAATGAGCATCTCTAAGTAGATATGTAAAGAGAACTCAATTTTCAACAACTAGACGTTAGAAAACACAGATACTTTCGGAAAATAAGAATAGACCGCGGCTTGAAAAATGGTCTCTATTAAACTAAGAAAAGAACGTGCAACTAAATTGATAAATGGATATGACCAACCGCTCGTATTTTTAAGCAGCTACAAATGGAACGATATTCAATTCGGCAGCTAAAACGAGTTTAAAGCGAAGATCGCTCTTTAGACCAGAGCACAAAAGAAAGACGGGGGAAAACACGAGAAACGAAGTGCGACTATCAAGGCGATCGGGCGAAACGTGCAACGCGCGCGACTGGTTCACAGCGGCGGGCAAATAACGCAGAAACAAAATCTGCGACAGACGGACAGAGGTACGATGAGAATGAAGAAACGGCGCGACGGAGTCCGCCGTGTCTCGAGGAGGGGCCCACAACTTACGAAGCACTTCATGGCGAGCGGTTTTTCTTGCGTGTTATGCGGGGAAACACTACGTGTTCGAGGGGCGCGCGGTATGCTTTTATAGCTGAGCCCAGCCCAAGTCCAGCCGCTCAGGATCAGGCGGGGGGGTATAACGTTCGCGTGGCACACGGACCCCTTTCACCGGCACGTAGCGAGCGACCCTTTCGGACCCCTTATTGGGTGTACGCCCAACTGCGACCGGCCAATGACACTTCCGGTGTCAACGACGAGCAGGCGACGGAGACGACCGGGACAACGACGAGGACGACGATACCGGGCTTCGTCGCATCGCCCTCGGAGGATGCAAGGACAGCGAAATCGCGGACCGCGACGGGGAGACGCGCGGCTGCGGTTGCGGCGGCGGGGGCTTGTCGAGACTGCGCGTCATTGATCCGGTTCGCGAAAAAAATCCTCGGTCTACATGCGCCGCTCGAATCGAGAATGTCGGCGATGTCGTGTTGAAGCGTGACGCTAGATTACTGTGATTAATCGGCCCCGAGGATTTCGCGAGATCGCGCGCGCGCTCCGTATTTTGCGGGGTTTTGCGCGCCGTTCCGCAAGATCGCGCGCGCGGAAAAATGGGCCGGCGCTCGGGACGCATTCGCATAGTTTTTACGCTCCTTACCGTGTCTCCGTTTGCTTTTTCCCGAAGGATCGTCAAAGGTCGAGCCGACTCGTTACGCCGAGACCGGTCACGGAATCGTGTTATTCGATAAGGTCGCGTGTGAGAGGGGAGCTCGGTGCTGCACAACACGTATGTCTTCCTTTTTCTTTTTTCTTTTTTACCGAATATCGCAACATGCGTCATACGCGTATGTTTGGTTTTCTCTTGAATATCGTAATCAGCTTGTTGACGTTATCAACAATGTACCCAACGTTCCATTGCGTTATTAACATTCTCGGGATAATTAATTACTATCGTCGGAATTGGGGATTTCGTTATGCCGCGCAGCCGCGAGAATAGACCCGTTATTGGTCGATCCTGCGGGCCGCTCGGCGCTTGAGTTTGTTCGTAACTCGTTCTTTGTGATTTTCTAGTTGCGCAGCGTGAATTGATTTGTTTTCTAATTCCAGTTCCAAGCTGCACGCGCGAACTAATTCTACTAATCGAGTTACTTCACGATGAGAATCGCTCGAAATTCGAGGCCGGCCCGATCTCCGACACGATTCGAGGTTGAATCGATGAGGTTGGACGAGGTTGAACAAAGAGCTCTCGTTGAATCGGGGATTTTGCGAGGCGGAAAGCGACACGGCGTCTCTCCAAAGGCAAAGCTCCACTACTGGCTACTATAAAAATGTCATTTTATAATATTATAATATTATTTAATTATTATAATGTTATTCAATTATTATAATATTATCATATTACTTTATAATATCATGTATCTTTTTATGTTATATATATCATATTCTCTTATATATTATGTTGTAATATTTTTCTCGTGCATATTATTATTTTATATGATTTTACGTATTATTATATTATATGTGTCATAATATCTCACATAATAATAAATGCATATGTTATTAATATATTAATATTCTTACGCAACACGATATCGTTGCTATCTAATTTGGCGCAGCGTTTAACGCAGCATTCAATTGCAGCGAACGTTGCAAAGTGAACTCGTGGTGGGAATTTGGGACGTCCAGTTGAACTCTCTCGACAGTCCGCACACCTGGGCCGAATAACGTCACAGGTCTACCCTTTCAGATCGATCGTCGACACAGTTCATGTCGATTTGCTGCTTTTAATTTACGCCAAGTGATTGCTACCACCGGCGAAACGGAATTTTCCATTTTTCTCCGTTTTCTCTTTTTCCCTTTTTCTCTTCTCGCTCGATGCACAATCCCGTTCGCAAAATGACCCAGTTCACGCGAGGGGAACGTTAGGAGACTTTCACGGAGACATTTGAGTGCAACCTCGCGCCCATGTAATACTTGTAAACACATGTTTGTTACACACGACTGATCCCGCGGAGACTCCGCCGGAATGCGGCTCTCGTCCGGAAAAAGCCGCCCCGGGAGGAAATAACGGCGGCGGAGAAACGGTAGAACTCCTTTCGGAAAAGGCGTTGCGCAATTTGTTTCTGCGTTCGACTGCGTTCTACACGACCGGGTGTCGCGTAATCGATCGACTTTTCGCTCAACTTTGTTCCGACCGAACGATCACGGAGGCGGCGGTTGCGCCGGCGGTGACGCGTTACGGTCGCACACGTGGGCGACGGGGGGCCCGGTCGGGGGGCTGGACTCGGACGGAGAAGAGGGCTCGTCGAATGAAACGCCAGCGAACTAGTCTGGTTTTATCACAAGACGTAAAAGTCAACTTTTATTAGAAAATAAATAAATTGCACCGCGGACGAAGAAGAGAAAAAAAAAGACGAAGAAAGAGGGAGAAATAGAGAGGCGGATAGAGCGGGAACGGGGGGTCCGAATGTGGGGGGGTAAACGAAGAGAATGTTTGAGAGAAAAGACCGACGATGATAAATCAGGGGATGGGTGGGGGGTGGGGCAAGAAGTAAAAACGCTCTGTCTGATGTTGCGTGACGTCTTCTTCAAGTATCACACGCCGCACGGAAATTTTTCGCTCTTGTTGACAGGTGGTGGTGATGGTGAACGCGAGATCGGGGGGGTAGATCGCGTGATAGATTGCCGGACGCGGATGTTGTCTTTCGTGTCTGTGTGTGTTTGTGATTGCGTGTCATATGTAGCGCTAAGAAGGTAATCAAGAAGAGAAGTTGCGGACGACTGCTGTTTTTTCGAGTCAGGCTGCCTGGTCTGCTGCGGTCCGCGGGTGGTCCAAGACGTGCGTCCATCCTGAGGCTGTCGAATCACGGGAGAGGCGAGCAGAAGGGGGCGGGAGCCGCTACCGCTGATGCCGCTGCTGCCGTAGTCGCCGATGTCGCGCGGGGGATCGCCTGCTGGCGGGTCGGTTCGCGAATCGTCGCGATGGTCGTCGCCGTGGATGCCGAGGCCTCGGAAGGGCACTCGCGCGCTCTGGACCACTCTAGACCGGGGGCTATGTTGGATGGATGAGGTGTCGCGCGCTTCGACATTTACCAGCCGTGGCCGCCGTGGCCGGCCTTAACGACGCCGATGGCTGGCTCGGGCGCTGGTACGTAGTGCTCGACAGCCACAAGATGCGGATGGGATCCGCCACCGCCGTTGGATCCGCTGTAGTGTATTCTGGTTGTATGTTCATTGCCCTTGTAGGATGTAGGATTGGGGTGCGGCGCGTGGATATTCGGGGTGCCTCTGGAGCCTCCGCCAGAGTTGTCCACGTGGTACGTCTCCTGTGGGAACAAAGGAAATTTCAAGAGACTCGCTGAGACATCCACCGTCCTTCTGTGTCGCTCATAAAGCAGCGTGCAAATACTATTTCTCCCTAGATATTCCTTCGATCTGCCGATGAGAAGTATTCGTTTTCCAAGTTACGTAGTAATCGGTCAATCGATGCGCTAGTGAAAATCAAATCGAATCAACTCGTCGCTTTAATAATAATTAATGAGCGATCTGTTGATCGCTTTACTAGTAATTAACAAGTAATCAGTTAATCGCTTCAGTTCTGTCGTTATCCGAATTAGCTATTCGCTGCGAACTCTGTTGCGGAAAATTCCCCTGAGCGGGGACAAGTTTGTGAAAATTCCCAGCGAAATCGAGTCCATTCCCAAGCCTTCGGCTTGAAATCCGCTGTTTCTAACGAGGCGGCTGCCCCCGAAGCGCTACCGTGGAAGCCGCGATCGGACGGTAGCGGAAACGAGCGGTAGAACGGGATAATTCGGGAAAGGCTTAAGAAATTCTAACGAGGCCCGACGGCGACGTTCGTTGCACGAACGCGAGAGCGAGCCCGGTGATTCCGGTGCGCGACCGAGTCGCGTGGTTTCGCCACGGCTGCCTTTATGGGCCCGATTAAGCAGGAAATCCAATTAGCTAACTGTCGGACACCTATTCCGTCGCGCGGCGTGCGGCACGTAACCACCGGCGAACACGTAACCGCCGGGGCCGATCGGATCTTGGCGCAACGTAACATTAGAAATCGGCCCGGTCGGTCGTTAGGGCGACAGAACCGCGGCACCGTAATCAGCGGCACGATATCGCGATATCGAACGAGACCCGGTGTTCGCGAACAGGCCCTCGCTCGCAGGCTATCTCGCCGTTTCTCGAAACGCCTGATCGCCGGAGCGAAGGAAGGGCACGTTTCCCCGACGATACACGCACATATATATATGTATATATTCGCGAATTTTACATCGGTTTCCCGGCTCAGCGGGAACAGTCGGCGATTTCACTTTTCGCCTTCCCCGTCCTCCCCGTCTTCTTCTAACCGGCAACCCGGAGGTTCAAAGCGATATATCACGCGAATAACGGGGATCGGGGAATGAATACTCGTACTCGCGCCGACCGATCGAAATGAAGAGACTTTGGTCCTCCTCCCAGCTTGCTGTTTCCCGCTCATTACCTTGGCGTACGCCGCGGGAGCGGCGATCTTGACGTGTTTCGGCGCGGCCGCGACCCAAGGCTGGGGCGCGACCCAAGGCTGGGGTGCGACCCAAGGCTGGGCTGCGACCCAAGGCTGGGGCGCGTGCACCACCGGGCTGTGCGCCACTGAAGCGTGCACCAATGCGGCCGGAGCTACCCAGGGCTGGGCGATCTGAGTGCGTCAAAAAGTCTCTCAGATCGGAAAGATCGAGGCGTTACGCGTTACTTCGTGTTACCTCCGAGTATGTCCGAAGTTACTCGCTTGCCAGAGAAGTTGAAAGACAAAGAGAGAGAGAGAGAGAGAGAGAGAGAGATGTGGATAAAGAGATGGTCGCAGAATGACGCCGACTGATTGAAGCGAGGGACCATTAGAAGATGAAAAGTTACTCGCAGAGAAGAGATGGAGAATCACGAAGAGTGATAGAAGAGCGATGTTGCGGAGAAATGAAGTAGGGGAGAGAGAGAAATCGAGAGAATAACGCTTTGTTACGATCGTCGGAAAGAATGAGAGAGAGAGAGAGAGAGCAATTGATAAGTAGATTAGAGAACCTGGAGAGAGAAGAATAGAGAGAAGTTGAAGAGTCTGTGAGATGCGTTAGACGACGTGGCGATCGTGCTTGATGAACACCGACGAGGAGCCCCGACTTTGTCCCGTGAGATTAATTGGCGAACTGGAAGATTAATTCGTGACTTCCCACAGAGTCCTCCTTGAACTTGATGATTGACTTATGAGCAAGAAGTAGCGGCCGCCCGAGTCGCTCGTGTCTCGCTCGGGTGACGAGGAGTATGCAGTTACTTGCGGAAAGACAGTCGTTTTAAGATGGACGATAGATTTAAGATGGCTGAGAAGACATTAATGACTGTTGAATGAAGACGTCCGGCGAGATGGGTTGAAGTGTCTGCAGTTTGACCGATTAATCGGTGAAGATCGAGCCGACGTGTTAATTCGTGTAATTACGTCGCGGTATTAACATCACACGGCTGTTACCATAAATATATAAAAGCAAAACGATCAAATAAATATACAACGCCGATTAATGGAAAAAAAGAAAAGTTCAATAAGGTAGATAAATAAATTATTGTATGCGGATAAAGATCAATTTAAATATCTTGCATAAAGAAGGAGCAATGAAAGATTGAACTTTCGGAAATGTCTATCGAGTGTTCGTGTCGAGATGCGCGAAAGTAACGTTTCTAATGATCATACGGCATTATGGTCGCGCAGCTCTCGCGAAATAATCGTGCATAAAGTGGCGACTTTTTCTCTTCGACCGAGCGTGAAGTACTTACGGCGTGGCCACCACCGTATCCACCGACGTATCCACCGCCATATCCACCGCCGTGTCCACCGACATATCCAGCGCTAGCGGCCGCTACAACAGCGAGCAGGACAATCTGCAACAATACAATGGCGGTGTAACGCAACGTGACTGAATTTCACGGCGGAATACTGGCAACCTCGACGAGACCGGCTTTGTAAAACGGACGTTTCGTCAATCGATTCGATCGATCGATACGAATACAACAACGCGAGATTCGTCTCTTCTCTTTCATCAAATATCACCGAGCCGCTAATTTCTCCGCGTTGCTGACCGAAAGATACGTGAAAGTACATCATCGAAAATACCGTACGAATAAATTTTACACGCAAAAACACGGCCAAGCTCGATAGAGTCTACGACGATCACGATTCGACAGCAACGTAACTTTCCCGATAACCTACGACGTGGGAAGTCGATCGGCGAGAGATTCATAGTCGATTCGCGCTCTCCCGGCTCAGTGTCTCGTAATGTGACTCGATATATATATTCGCGCGCGGGAAGACGCGGTCTGAGGTGCGCCGCGCAAGAAGCAACGAGTTCGTCGAATTCGAGAACAATGACGACGATGAGACTACGTCGCCGGCGGGAAATCACGCTGGTGATCATCTCGCGCTGCGGCGAAGTCTGACTGGCCGCACGGCCGTCCGCACGCGGCTCGCTTATGTGCGCGATTACAGTAGGAACTTACGAAGAACTTCATGGTGGACAGTTTTTCTGGTGCGGTACGCGGGAAAACACTACGTATCCGAGGGGCGACGCAGTATGCTTTTATAGCGGTGCCCTGCCCAGGCCCCTGCGCCTCAGGGATGAGGCGGGGGCACGCGCCGCTCGCGGACGGCTGCACCGGCGGACCCCTTTCACCAATGGCGGATCGCGCGACCCTTTCGGGCCCCGTTAACGGCAGTGATTTTGCACGCGCCGAGGACTCGATCACGGGACCCTCTCGCTTCCGGTTCTCCCCCGGATGCCCTCTCCTGAGACACCCCTCGGGAAACTCCCGGGGGATGCCAAGGACCACCTGATGGACCACCGGCAAGAGGACACCTCGTCTCGGCCGTCCTCCCCTCTAGCCCCATTCCGCCTCTACCCTGCTCCCTGCTTCTTGACCGGACCCCTGGTCTCCCTCCCCCCGACGCCTACGAAATCCGCAACTCGTTAACCCGGTTAACGCCAGCCGAGAATCAGGTGCGCACGTTGCACGAATAAAGAACGGCACGCGCGCGCGCGCGCGTTAGACAACTAGCGTTACGAGCGATTGCCATTCGACATTTTGCAAGATCGTCGTAATTTTTCGTTTTGCAGAATTATAGCGTTTCGCGAGATTGCGTAGAGAAAATACGTGTCTATGTGTGTGTGTGTGTGTGTGTGTGTGTTGCGTCTGTATACTCGGTGTATGTACGTCTGTCGTTTGAATGTGGAGCGGGGGCGGGGAATGGGGACGGGGAGAGAAAACGACGCAGTTAGATCACCGCGCGATTAAATCGATCGATCGATCGATTGATGCATAATTTGCTACATTCGCCGTGTCTTTCGTTTTGGGGAATTATGTCGTTTCGCAAGATCGTGCAGGAAAATAGTTCCATATGTCGCAGAAGGAATGCGGGAGAGAGAGAGAGAGAGAGAGAGAGAGAGAGAGCGAGAGAGAGAATACTGTGCGTTAAATCACGATCGTGTCAGATGGATTGACGACAATCGCCTCGTGTCTTGTATGTATTTAAGAAAATGACAGTCTTTTCACGGCAAAAATCATAGAAAGCGAGTGAATTTTTAGCGCGCTAAACGTCAACATCGCGAGTATGCGTTGTATGTCAAGCGACACCGATTTCCTCTTAAGTAAAATCCTGTAAAAGGGAAAGAAACGAAGGACAAAGGGGAGACGGAAACAAAAGGAAGTGAATAAAGGGAAAGAATTAGAAAGAAGAAAAAGAGGAAGGGGACGAAAATAAGGAAAGAGACGGAAGGAAAAGGGGAAAGGGATAAACAGAGAAAGGAAGAAAGAAGAAGAAGGGGAAGGAAGAACAACGAAGAAGGAAAAGGGAGGAAAAAAGTCAAGAGTATTTTATATACATATAAGTAAGCCTTTATGTAATTATCTTTTCTCTCTCGGAAAAATTGAAACGAGAATATCGGGAAATTTCCGCAGGCACGTTTCGCTCGCACGTGACGCATTTGTGGCGCGGGAGTCCGATTCCGCGAGATTTTCCATATACTGCGCAAAAATCGGAGGTACGTCCAAACAGGTTTGTCCGAACGTTGAGTGGCCGGTCCGGCGTTGTCCGGATAGTTGCACGGACGCAGTTTCGCAGGTGCGTCTTGCGCAAGTCGCAAAAACGAGCGATTTTCTCGCTCTCCCTCTCTCTCGCGCTCCATATTTCACTCTCCGCATCGCGTTATATCCTAATCAGCTCCATCGGCGCGTACGCCCAATTGCACGTGGCAACGCGCGTACGAACGCACACGCCGATCGCGAGACTCGGCTTCGCTCAACGCGCGTTACACGCTCATCGGCGCGGTAATCCCGCGTCCTGCGCGTCGTCGTCGATTTACGGTCCGACGATCGCGATCCGCGGGATCTATGAGCGCGATCCGGTGCACAAAGTCGGTGATACATATTAGGACAATCGCGGGTATGACGCGGTGCCGTTCGTTCGAGTTGCGCGCGCTGGCTGTTCGCACAATAAATCTCCCCGGGCGTAACGGTCCGACGATGAAACAGATAGCGGCAGATATTACTTAAAACGCAGTGGACTGTGAATTCGCCTGGCTGTTGAGGCTTCTGATTGCGGCGGAATGTAACGTAAGAAGAAAACCCGCAGGAGATAATCGAAGGAGGAATCGAGAGGCAGTTAAAATAAAAAAGAATTGATTATTTTAATAGAAGAAAATAAACACACACACAAAGCACGCAGATAGCAAACGAAGAATGATATGAAAGCTCTTAAAGTGAACAATAGTAAGTACGGTAAGCAAATAAGGGCCGTCGCTAGACATTGGCCACGAAATTGATAAATCTTAGCTTATATTCTATTTAAAATTGTATAAAACTGTTCACATTATATTTATTGTTTATTATTGATTTGTTCATTCATTAACAGGAATCTTATCCGTTTAATTTACAATACATACAACGTAATCAAGAAACAAACAAAATATATCTACATGGAAATAAAAAAAGGGAGAAACGCAATTTTTATAAAGCATAAAGGATAAACGGAAAGAGGGAAGAAAGTGAAGAGTTAAAAATTCGAGGAATGTTTAAATTAAAATAATTAAAAATAATCTTGAAAGTGGGCCATGTAACGAAGGTCAATTATATTGCTAAAGTTATTCGTAAACATAGCTAAATAATCAAGTGGTTACCACGACACCACACGCTTTCAGGGATCGCGTTATGTCTGTGGAATGTGTCATGATCATGCGAAGTTTGAAGCGATCGGTCGGAGAACGAGAACTTCCCCGTTCGAGAGAAGTTCATCGTCGAGTTTGGCAAGGAAGAGAGCTGAAGCAACAATAGAGAATTTCCTCGCTTACTCGCCAGTTCTACCGATTTCGTAATCGCACAAGAGTTACCGGGTGTATTTCGCGAGAGGACGTGGAACCCAACGGCACAACGTCGATCATACCTCTCAGAGAACAGCGACATTACGAAGACGAGGAAACTGATTGATCAATAGATCCCTCGTCTTCTTGATCTTTCATGCTGATTACAATATTCCGTACGCAGAAAAATAATTATATATATATTTACTTATAAGAAATTATGAATCCTTTGATGCAATACATAAATTTCAATCTGATAACGTGTATAAAGAAAAGACAAATTTCTGCAAAGATAACTAATACGGGAACATGTAATAGAAAAGAAATAGAAGACGCAAATAAATCGATCAAAAAATAAATGTACATATTTAACTTTATAATTTAAATCAATTATAAAGAATCAATTAAATTATCAATAACGACAACTCTAAAAAAAGGTGGACAATGGAATATAATATATAATAATAAGTTAAATTATTAATAGTTAAATTATTAAAAGTATAATAATAATAGTTAAATTATTAAAAGTATCTCCAACCACAAATAATCCATTAAACAATTTGAACGTTCTATATCGAATCCGACACTTTCTCACGTAAAGAGACGGATAATTTCTGAGAGACCTATCATTAAATATTAAACTTTAATAACTTTGAGATACTGGAATGTATAGTTAGACCCCCCTCAGAATCCTGAGTAAAAATAGGAGGTCAGTTATCGTGTGGAGATAATTCCGCAAAATGCGGCTGGAGTCATTTCGCATGCTTCGTTCCGTCGATTAGGGCGGCGTCGGTGCGAAAACCCCGTCCATTCGTGTCTAATTAATTCGCGCGCGCGTGCATGCCGCAACTTTGCAATCTCTATGTACAATATTAATTTTGCAACGGCGCAAAACGCGACCGAGTTTCTGCGATCGGCGGATTTAGCTCTCCGCACGCCCGTGGAAAAGCGTGTGATCCTTTTTTCTTCTCTCAGCGAGTCATTCGTCTCGCTGGACGTTGCCGCGTGTCGAAACCCGCTATTATACTCCGAGAAGTTGCCGCGCGTACGCATTCCGCTAACAATGAAGCCATTATTACGCTCCTCTAGGACTAATTAGATAATACACCGTAAGATGAAGAACAAGAGATAGCTTTAACCGGTGTATAATGATCCTCCTCAGCCGGAGAATTCTCTGAGAATTCCCTGAAAGGACGTTCTAAACGTCTCCCTCCACGCGAATGAAATTTCTTCGATTGCTTCTACACGACGATCGATGGAATAACATTGATGCGCGTTACAATTAGGTTACTGGCTTCTTTTAACACTATACATTTCTTAGTAAGCCTTAACGTGAAACTATCACGGTATCATAGATTACTGATTTGACACATCATTTTAGCTTATTTAAATTAATTTATTTATTTATTAGAAAAAAATTAATAGATGATAAGTTAATATACAGTTCGCGCGTTTAGAAAATGTATCCTCATAACCTAATTTTACATTGTGTGTTAAGGCTGTGCTGCCAGGTAACGTGCATTAATCGACAGAATGGCCTTAACACGCGGAGTAAAAATAGAGTACCTGCATTTTATAACCGTACACGTTTGTTTTTTCCTTTTTTAGACATTAACGTGAAGCTATTGCAATGATTAATAATTTGACATATCGTTCCCGTTTTTTTTTTCAACAATCAAGATAGATAGTAAATTAGTAATAACAATTAAGAAATTCTAATTAGCTAATTACATTGTATGTTATGGCTATTACGTTAATTAATGTATATTAATCGACAGGATAGCCTTAACACGTAGTGTAATTAGCTTACTAGTATTTTATAACTGTACACATTCCTTTTCGGAATGTTAACATAAAACTGTTGATGATTACAAATTTGACACATCATTTCCGTTTTCTTAAACAAACAATAAATAGTAAATCAGTAATATGTATGGTTAAAAATGTCTAATTACCTAATTACATTGTACGTTAAGGCCATTTTGCCGATTAGTATACAAGTTCAACAAAAATATTCGATTCACACGTTATTGCTACATAGAACTAACATTGAAATATAATACTATTGTCGAATATCTTCCCGAAAAATGTCTTTTTCTCTCGAGTCAAAAGAGCAGTTTTTCGCGAAAATCGTTCTTGGTGCTCGTTTCTATCGAGGTGAAAGAACTCTCATTAGGGTACATTGCGGAATCCGTTTTATACGCGCGAACAACGCGGCAATTTCTTTCTCTCC